AAAAAAAAAAAAAAAAAAAAGCCAAAAATTAAATAGTACAACAAGAAACTATAAAACTGAGAGGCAGATCAAAGATAGCCTAAAACCGCTAGCTATTCGAATTTTAATAATGGTTTTCGAATGGTTTCAATTTACTAACTAATGACATAAAATTGGAGTAGTTTTCAATTTTTTTTTCCCGTTTGGTGTTAGCTCTTCCATTTTAAATAAAGATGTCTACTAATAATAGATTTGTACAATAATTTTTTCATATGTAATTGCTCGCAATCAATGAGGATATATAATGATGTATTGAATCATAAACTTGATAGTGACTTTACATTGTTATTTATTTATTAATTCTTGTAAGTTTTAACCAACCATGTAGGTCATTATTTATTTTATGATGCGTCAGCTTGTGGATAATTAATGAGTGAGTTGGCTCATTTAGGTAGAGACGATTCTGAATTTCATAAGACTTTGGGCGAAATGCACGAAATGTCTCCTTTGGTTATTTTCATTAAAAATTAATGTAACTCACCGTAATAAAAGCATGGAAAATTAAAATAAAATTGTAGCTATGTTTTATAAATACAATTTGAGGAAAATCTTAAGAGTCACACATGGAAAGAAAGGAGGAAATCATTTTCATTCAAATAAAAAAATAAATAGTCAAAGCTCTAAAAAATCTTTTACTTGAGTATATAATTTAAGTTTAGTGGAGTACATAATACTGTTGATATGAGATAACATACCAGGTCGACTAGACCCGGGAAACAGTCAGACTGAACGAACTATCAGGTTGAACGAAACTTGGAGATCTCACAGATACACGGATCCTCATGTCAAAGAGAACGTCATGGATTTTGGGAGCACCAGCAGGTCGAATTATGGCCCTCGGATAGCCCGGTTGAAGTTTGACCTGAAGGTACATCTGGTCGAAGGATCTACCAGACAAGTAGAACATGAGGGCTCGTTGTCAATGATACTTTACCACGAGATAATAAGTCCTCCACGTGGATAAGGCCACATGACCTAACAAAATTGGGCAGTTCGGGCTGCTCAGGCAGTACAAACAGGCTTTGGGCAGGCTTGGGCAACAAGGTATCATCTTCCTATATAAAGGAGTGAAGTATGCCCAAAATTACATTACATTCTCCATTATTTTATACACACATACTGCACTTATCTTCTACAAGTGTTAACTTAAGCATCAGAGACCTTTCACCTATAAACCCCTCTAGTGTGAGAGTTTTTGCAGGTCTAAAGGCGTTCAACCGGCGAGGAGCACAAATCAAGCAAATTTTGAGTCGGTCGGAGGTCTTTTGTGTACCATTTGGCGTTGTCTGTGTTAATTTTGTTCGAAAAGCCATTAAACACAATAACCATGGCGAGCGAGATTTCCATAAAGAATTTAAAGACGACTTTTGACAATACGTGGTCGAACACACGTCTGTTCAGAGTAAGTCCCCCCACCGAGCTTCTTCGAGCATTCTCAGACTTCGATGACCCCGATGCCTCATCCTGTAAGCTTAGGGAGCTCGTCGGTGGTCCCAGTTGTTGTTGCTGGCCTGAGCCACGTGTAGGAGGCCTGAGCGGCTCTCAGAGTTTTGGTTCCAATGCCGGTGCAACCAGATCTGGCCTGTAACACGGGTGGGTCCATCGAGGAGTGAGGACAACGAGGACAGCTTGTGACGATGTCGAGGGAAGAGTTGGAGAGGATGATAACCAACGCAGTCGCAGCCAGAGTAGCTCAACAAGTCACCCACTAGATGTCCATGCGACCTCCGTGACGACCACGGTAGTGGAAATGAACCAGCAGGAGACCAAAATAGACGAGTCATGTAGTAAAGAAACTGTAGTCCACAAAGATAGAGTTGTGGAGCGGATGGTCGAGAAAATCCACCAATTGCATGCAAAGTTGGATTGAAAAGCACCAGGGCTCGAAGGCACCCCCCATTCTCTAGGAGATCATAAAGGCGGTTTTGCCAACAACTTCAAGGAGGTGAATTTGACTTATGGCGGGTTGACAGACCCATCTAGGCATGCAAGTGTAACACCCCGCTTTTCCACAAAAATCAGAGTGCATTTTTCACAAAACTTTTCTTTATAAACATATTTATTTGCGAAATCCTTTTCGGGATGCTACTAAAAATCATTCGTTACTTTGAAAACCCGTTATCATAATTTAAACTTAACTTGTAAAGAAAAAACGGATTATTTGAAAATCAAACTAGCATGTAATACTGTTTAAAAGTTTGTCCGATAAATCAGATCAAATATAAAAATTGACATGCTAGTTGAAACATCGTAAAGTGACAGCGGAAGTCAAACGTGGTATAACATAACTGTACAATAATGTACAAATGGCAGCTAGCCAAATCCTTGACCACGTACCACCAATCCAGCTCACTCCTCCGGTCCGAATCTATAACCTGAAAAACATAGAAATCGTGGGGCGTGAGCACTAAAAGCCACTGTGCTCCACAGGAACTCATACTAAAGTAAACAGTGAATATAATAACAATATCATGATCAATAGCATGTAGAAACGTGGTACTGGTACAACATAAAAACATGGCATAGCATGGCATAACATAGTTGTAGCATAGCTACAATATCTGTCAACACAAACGTGCTGGATACCATGTGCACACTCTAGTGGGCAGATAAAGCCGCTAGAACATAGAATGGGTTTACGCACCTGGACCGGCTACCATTCTAAGCGGATACATAGCATGATGCATACCTCAAACATGGTAGAGTAATTATAATCAATGTAATACCCAATCTGAGTCCCCACCTGAACTGCTGATATGAATCGTAAGTGCTGATAACCTCGAACTGTTCAAACTGTAACATATATATAAACAAATATGAAGTACTATGCTCAGACTTAATAAAAATGGCTGTTAAGATGCTCGACTTGAACTGACATGACACCTGGACCTAACTGATATAACTAGAACCGGTTTAAAATGAAATTAGACTGACATGATCAAAATGAACCTGACTGAACTCGGAAATTAACTGAAATCCTGTCATAAACATGAACCGGATTGATAAATGTTTGAAACATAACATTAATCGGTATAAACTGGCCGGTTCATTGGCTGGCCGGACCGCCAGTCTGCTGTGGCCGGGCGGTCAGCCGCTGGCTTGGGCCAACCCGCTCGGTCCCACGCTAGGCCTACTGGAGCCCGGGCGCGGTCATTGGCGTGGACATGCTATGGCCTGACTGCTGCCGGCCTGACTGGCACGGCTGGGCACAACTGGAGTGCAACTGGACCTGACTTGGGCGCTGGCTGTGCGACTGGCGTATCGCCCGCACATGGAATGGCTATCGGGCGCTGCTGGGCATAATCGACGGTCGACTGAACTCATGGCATGGCAACTAGGTTCATGAAGTGCGATGGAATGCTGCCGGGCGCTACTAGCACTATGGACAGGCGACTGGCCAACGCTGAGTGCGTGAACTGACGTGAACTGGCGTGGATTGGTACTGCTAGGGCGCTGTCGGGCGACCCTGATGGCACTTGGTGCTCTGGCGTGCTGTCGGGCACCGGCCGAGGCCAACTGGCATGAAATTGGGCGCACTGGCGTGCGCTGGGATGTGCTGGCGTGCACTGGCACTGGCCAACTATCGACTGCTGCGGGCAGGGCTACTCGCGATGCCCGACTGGACGTACGTAAGTCACCCGCCCGACCTCACCTGACTGCCAGTGTGCTGCTCCCGCTGTGTGCGGGTAGGGTGACTACGACCGGCCATTGTCGGCCGTCTGGCGATATTTTCCAGCAACAACTACTTAAAACAATATAACAAAGCATAACATGAACAAATATACTTAAATCGCTCGGACGATTATGAACATAACTTAAAATGGCTCGATAGGGCATAAACCGGCCGTGGCGTGCGCTATATGCACGATCCACGATCTTAACCGATTCTTTTGGTCGTTCGATAACTTCCTCCGAAAACTAATACTTATTTGAACATAACGTGACATATAATGATTATTAAAACATGAATTATACGAGGGTTGCCGGCTAGAAATGAACACGACTCAACATGGCCTAAATGGCACGACCGATTGAAACATGGTGCTATACAAGATCTTAGCTACATGATTCGGACTTAATATGCTTAATATGATCATCTTAACATTAAAGGAGGGTCATAATAAGGTTACCCCTTAATCGCCCGAAGGAAATTGCTAGGCTGACGTGTTTGCTCGGTACTTGTGTGTGTTCTTCCTTCTCCACGGCTTCTTAGCTAAATCACAAGCTTTCTCTTTACTTAACTCACTAAAATCTTGGTTATGATTCTTTCCCCTCTCACTACGGTCTCGGTTTTACAAGATGAAACATTTATTCTCCCAACTCTTATAATTGGCGTGGGACATATTAAGCATGAGTTGGACTTATAAAATACAGATGGCTTCACAAGATGGTTTGATGGCATGGCTTGCTTAGTCACTAGGCT